GCACTGTTGTACATGTGGAATTTCCTCCTCAGTTATTGTTGGAATACAGTTCTCTTTTGAATTTCTGTTACAAAGCATTGTAGACATGGTTTCACGATTAGTATCACCTCAGTCTTTTAAAAGTTTTTTTAAAAGTAAATTATCCTTATAAAGTTTAAAATGTGTTAAAGAAACAGCATCTTGTTTTATCTTCTTCACAGTCTTAAAAACAAAAACTTGTGGTACTTGTACTAAGTTGTGTTTATTGAGCAGATAGCAGAAGTTATTTCTAAAATGAGGTAGAGGAAGCTTCAACATGCCTGCTCATCCTTTATCAGCATTATAGAATGAATCAGCAATTTGCTAAGGTCAACAAACCATTATTTTGATTATAACAATAATATATAGTTCCAAGAATTTAAAAAAAATTCGGGGGTAACAGGAATTTAAATTTGCTGTTAATAGATTAACTGAATTTTGGGTCTGAAAGTTTCCTAGGTAGTGTTTCATTTCAGAGATTGTGTGCCTTTCTTACTTGGTTTTGTCACTAAGTTACTTGGTAAAATGGATTACTGACCAACTACTTGGTTTGCAGAGTTGGGAAAATCAATTTTCAAAACAACGGTCTCTAGCATCCTATGCCGTTGAGTCTGCGGCCAGCGTGTCTTCATTCAGACAAAGCAGTTCCAGCTGTGCGTGTAGTTGCCGAGCCTTGTTCTCCTTTGGCTAGCTGTTTTGCAGGTGTGCTTTTAGCACCCTGAGGGATGATTTGGGGCTCCCTTTGCTCCACGTGATTTTGGAAAACTTATCCAGGGACTTTCCTCTGGGGCACTTGGCAGAGTGGCGCTGTTTACATTTGTATCTGAATAAATGACTATGCTGTGTTTGGGAGATATGGATGATCTGGGTTTTGGATTTGTACCAAAAGTGCCAAGCCATTCATTGTGAAGCAAGTACCTGTATTGGCCCAGGTATCCTCTTACATACTTGGCGGAGAGCATACTGGGCATGGTTGTGACATTTGTGCTGAGGAATTAGCCAGCTGAAGGAAGGGAAATTCTGGGAGCAAGTATAGCATGTGCAAAGGCCCTGTGTCAGAAGGGGCTTGGTGACTGTGGGACAGAAAGGAAGGATGGCAAAACTGGAGAACAGCAAGACTGGGAAGTAAAGATGAGACAAAGCTGGATTAGTAGATAGAAAACCTGGGGTCTGAGGGATATGCTGAAGGTTTAGAATTGGTAAGAAATTTGGAAGCCATTGTAGGGCTTTAAGGGAGAAATCACTTTGTGGGAATCAAGAAGGGTCTTGAAGGACTAAGGCTTTTGATGTTATCATCACCATTAATAGCTAATATTTATTATTTGTTTGCTTAGGCTAGAATCTGTGCGAACTCCTTTATCCTCCTCATCTCATGTAAGCTTCGTTATTCAGTGAAGTGCTGTTTTTATTGCTGATGTTTAAGTGAGGAAACTGAGACCCAGCAAGGTTTAAAGCAGCTTGCCGGGTCATTTAGCTAGTAAGTAGCAGAGCTGGGATTTGAATCTAACCATCCTATGATTCTAATCCCTGAGCTGTTAGCCAGTAGGCTTGTGTTTTCATTATGTGATGTGATGGTCCATTAGAGACTGCTAATGGATTCAACCATTCCAGTGATCATGACTGGAATTTTTTGTCAAGAGAACAGATTAGGAATTAGAGTACTCTGCATTTACAAGGATAAATCATTGATATGTGAAACTTTTTTTGTTTCACAGTTTATTTTAACTGCATTTGTACAGATGTACACTTATGAGCCGTGGCATAATGCTTGCAGTGTTTGTCCAGTGAAGGCTTGACTAGAATGAAGGCCATGTGGATAGAAGAGCGGGTCTCAGAGTGGGAGGCCAAGGCAGCAAGGCTGAGTCAGAGACAGAATGCCGGGCCCATGTGGGATGTGTTCGGGTAAGCCGCAGGCTTCTAGGGGAGCAGCGTCGGTCACGGCGCTCGTGTGGTCAGTCCACTCCTGCTGGGCTGTTTGTTTACTATCTGATTCTCTGGCTTTTCTCAGCTGCAGCTAAAGGGACTTGGGTTGATGTCTCACCCATGGACAGCAAATCTATAAACTGAGAACCTATGACAAGCTCTATCACCTAAAACTATCTAAGCAGGCAGGTTGAGCCAAGAATGGTTTCTCTTTGGAATTTTAGGTAACGAGCCGACTGGTAGCAGTGGGCCACAGAGGCATGTATATGTGCTAACGGCAGCTCTGGAATGAGGGTATGGTCATTGTTTTTGCTAAAGTCCCCCTGGGATCCAAAGAACCTTTACGTTCCAGTGTTGAAGGCCAGCGTCCTTCTCTTTCTGAGGTTCAGGTGCAGATCATTTGTTTTGACTTTTATGAGACTCATTTTCTTACACGCATATGTAACCTTTTAATACCTGGTTCTCCAAAATGCTGCAGTGAGTCTCCATACTGTGCATTCAGCAAATGCTAATTGGAGATGGCATGGTAGCTGAATGCTTGGTAGTAATCCCCCCTGGCCAAAAATCTTCTCACTGAACCTCAGTTTCTTCCTCTCTCTAGGATGATATAAAGCATCTGTGTCATAGGGTTATTATGGGTGGTGAATGCGAGTAGCTGTATCTGGCACGCAGCTCAGTGCCTGGTGCAAAAGTGGAGCTTAAGTTTGCTGTTAGTAGTATTTTTAGGGCAGTTTCTCAAGTGACTTGAACATGTTTATGATCAAGGCCTGTGAGAAGGAGCCAGCATAGAGGCAGCAGTTGGATTTGTGTGAAAGAGGATGTTAAGAGAAGGTACAAGATCCCAAAGAAGCAGGGATGCTTATGTTATCAAGAGCAGACACTAATGGATTGTGTTCAACATAATGAACCTCGTAGAGGTGGTAAGAGGGTGTATTTTCTGAGATTGGATCCAGTTATGATGGGGGAGACATGATTGAAGAGAAAGGTGGCCACTTGGAACTGTTGTGGAGAATGGGCGACAAGGACATGCAAAAGAATCAGTAAGCCATGCTGAAACCCTGAAATTGCACTCCATTAATTTTTAGTAATGCCTGTCTGCTTGTTTCCAGTTTTTCCTGGTTCTGCAGAATAACCAGATGTGAAAGTTAAGAGTAGTGTAGTTTTAAGTGTTTGAAAGCCGGAGGCCAGAAGAGAATAGCAGGTGGGGGACTCGGGTACAGACAGTGAAGGCAAGTGGCCACCTGTTTAGTCCTGCTTGTCTGGAGGATGCCCTGAGTAGAGAACAGTGGTCTGTGAGAGACCCCCCACATACAAGGTATATCAATTTTTGGAATGATGGTTGCTACCAGGTATTCCTAATAATAATTTCTTGTGTTGATAATTGAAATATTAAGACCAGTTGTTAAAAGGAATTTATCATTATTTATGTGGGCACAACCTAATAGTTGAATTACTGGTAGGATTTTGAAGTTGCCGTGATTTCATGTGGTATGCTGAATCAGCAGCTGCAAGGCTGCCATCTTTAACTTTGGGAAGCGTTTGAGTATGTGTTAAGAGGCTTCATTTTCATTGACTGCTCCTGAGGAACTTGACATTTCAGCTATGTTGAACACTTTAAAAATGAGCACCTAAACAGAAGGGGCTTTATAGATGCATTTAATGTATTTGTGACTGAAATAACCTGTATTTTGGGTGGAAATTCATCCATGATCTGGGCATGGTCTGTCTGAACTTGACTTCACTTTTCATTTCTACTTGGAGTATGGCGGATCAGAAAGTAGTGATAGCTACTAAGTCACAGAACATTTCATATGTTTCAGGCAGTGAGTAAGGTGGCGGAAGACCAAAAGTAAAGGACACAGGGGTGATAGCTGTGAGGGACTTCTCAGTCCCCCTTGAGTGATAGCCACCGTGGGGTGCACATACTCACCTTAGAAGGGTAATCATTGACCATCAGTGTCCGAAGAAAGTTCTACAACTTCTCTTTTCACTTCGTACTTTCAGCTGCCCCATATTTTATAACATGAAACATAGAAGAATAGTAGTGCGTGTCTAAAATAAACACACATATATTGTACTATCCTTTTTTTTTTGTTCTAGTGCGTATGTGATCCCAAAATGTTTGGCGGCTACTACATGCTTGTATGTATTTTTAAAAAATGAATTTTTGGTAACTTTATCTTAATGTTTTAACATTTTGAGAAAACAAGGGTTTCTATGTGTGCTAAACCATGTTTTTAATGATGAGGTTGTTTCACTTGTTGCCCATATTTTACAGTGTAACCTAAGGCTTGTTATATAAAAAGACTCATTACTGAGATCTGGACTGACACATTTGAGTTATTTTCTTCTTTGTGTTGGAGGAACTTTATTGTAGACTGTCGCCCTCGTTATGAGGCACCAAATCACCCTACCAGCTGTTAGTTGTGGGGGTTATTGGGGCACAGCATGTGATGGACTGCCACATGCCTCTTCCACTCTCTGGTTCTCTTCCATGGAATGACCTCTGGTGAACCACTCACACATCCCACACGCATACACACTTGAGCACACACATGCTCATTATAACTTGTCTTAAGGTGACAGGATTAGGCGATCACCTAGAAATTTCCTGGCTCCATAAATTTGCTCATTGGAGGTGTTTTGTTGAGATGAACTGTCTCAGAGAGCCACAAATTTCTTGGTTGAAATAATTCTTTCTTCGGGCCTCCCCTGGTGGCGCAGCAGTTGAGCGCTGGGCTACGAGGCTGCCCGCAGCCTCTGCAGCGCTGGTTCGTACCCCGGCTGCCGGCGAGGGTCCCACCAAAAAAAAAAAAAAAAGAAAGAAAAGAAAAGAAATAGTTCTTTCTTCTGCTACCCTGAGAATCTTTGTTCCTAAAATTTGTTAAAAAACTGATGTCAAGAACCTATTTTCAATGTGGTAAATTGAATAAGTGGTTCCAGGTTATTTTAAAACCTTATGTTTTCACGATGAGTATTTTATTAAAATGAGTATTTCATTTTAAAAAACATTTTGAACAAGATTTTAGTGAAGTAAGATCTGGCACGTGTCTCCGCAGGTTTGATGACGATCAGAAGCATGCTTGCACTGCACTGCCCGACACCCCTGGCCACGCAGAATGTCTTTGAGCGAGAGTGCCGTTTTTGCCTATGAGTCTTCAGTGCACAGCACCAACGTCTTGCTCAGCCTTGATGACCAGCGGAAGAAGGACGTGCTGTGTGACGTCACTGTCCTTGTGGAGGGCCAGCGGTTCCGCGCCCACCGGTCCGTGCTGGCGGCATGCAGCAGCTACTTCCACTCGAAGATCATAGGCCAGGAGAAGGCAGAGCTTCACATTCCTCTACCCCAGGAGGTGAGGAGGACATCTGTGTTTCTGGAGACTGTTGTGGTTTCAGTCGAATTGAACTCACTCGGCTCGCTTGTGGATTATAGTTAAAAATGAAATACTCTCCTTGTCACGAGACTGGGGAGCAGTTCCCTGGTTCTGCAACAGCACATTAACTTTTTTCATAGGAATTATGACATTGCCCATATAAAATTATTGAAGATTATAAAATTATTTAAAATGACAAAAGACCAGGAGTTTCAAAAGACCAGAAGTTACAAAAGGCCAGCAATTATTGGGGTATATGGCAGTTGTGTGTTAAGTTTTATAAGAAGCTGCCACACTGCTTTTCAGAGTGACTGCTACATTCCCACCAGCAGTGTATGAACACCCCATTTTAAAGTTAGTTAAGAACTCGGTGCTTAGCATACTTAATAAGAAGATCACACAGGAAAATCTCCATCAATCTTTTTAGGAAATACTCGGTATTTTAAAATAATTTTGTATTTTTCCCCCAGAATGAGGCTTTCCTGCACTGATGAGGCTGTTTGCCCCCCTCTTTGCACAGGCAGATTCCATGTAGATGCACAAGTTTCTGCTTGCAGGTTTTGTTGCTGAGAGGCCATGAATCTTTGCTAAAACAACATGTGCCATGGTTTTAGATCTTCACTTAGATCACTTTTTAAATCTGAGTCTTTTTTAAAAAAATTTTTATTTATTTTTGTGTAGAAGTACTAGGGTGCAGGCCAGAGGTGCGGGGAATGAGAGGATTCGTCAGAGACAGAGTGGGGAGCAGAACAGGCAGATCTACTGAAATACACTGCTGAGGGGACCAGCGGGCGAGACAGGAGAGGGTTAGCTCCCTGGCCAGGAATCGAACTCAGGCCGTGGTGGTAACAGTGCTGAGACTTAGGCCACAAGGAGACCCATAAATCTGAATCTTCAAAAATTTTTTGAGAGATTTTCGGCATGAAGTAAAGATAATGCTTACCATGCATTTACTACTGTGTGTGGGTCAGGACTACTTTCTAAGTGGTTAAGGTACATTGTTCTTTATCCTTGAACGCTTCACTCTTGTAGTTTAATGCCATTGGTTGTTGGTACATAGTGACCACATGCAGCCGAAGTGGCACAGGACACCTGGTGCTTGCCCATGTAAGTGTTGCACAGATGATTTAGTTCAGCTAATGTGGGAAAATTATGGTAATGTTTGTCTTTATTTCCTGTGAGTCAGCGGTAATTCAGGTGTCCTTCAGAGAGGAATCTATAAAGTTGAGGGTGTGGTCCTGATGACTCGGGTGTGATAAACATGCTTTTCTAGCCTTTCTTAGCTTTACATTTCCTAGAATATTTTTTCTTACCAAATTGAAATACCTGTTTTGCAATTTTTACGCATAAGTTACTTGTTTCCTTTTTCCCCTTCTACTTCTCTTGTAATAATGCACTTATTTTTATTTTGTACGTTAACAGGTGACAGTGAAAGGATTTGAACCTTTAATTCAGTTTGCCTACACTGCTAAACTGTTTTTAAGTAAGGACAATGTGGATGAAGTGTGCAAGTGTGTGGAATTTTTAGGTGTACGTGACATTGAGGAATCATGCTTTCAGTTTCTCAAGTTCAAGTTTTTGGACGCCACCACAGACCAGCAGAAATGCTCAGGAAAAAAATGCTTCCCATCACACTGTCAGAAAACAGACCTTAAAATTTCACTTTTGGACCAGAGGGATTTAGAAATTGATGAAGTAGAGGAATTTTTGGAAAATAAAAATGTTCAGATGCCCCATTGTAAACTCTACAGGTATCAAGGAAATGTAAAGGTATCGCCTCCTTTACAAGACAGTGCCAGCCAAACATGTGAATCCATGTGCTTAGAAAAGGATGCTGCTCTGGCTTTGCCATCTTTATGTCCCAAATACAGAAAATTCCAAAAAGCATTTGGAACTGACAGAGTTCGTACTGTGGAATCCAGTGTCAAAGATGTTCACGCTTCTGTTCAGCCCCTTGAGACATCTGAAAATGAATGCCTAGGAGGAGTCCAGCACTGTGCAGATTTGCAGGTGATTTTAAAATGCAAAGAAAGTAAGTTGGCAATGGAACATGAAGAAACCAACAAGAAAGATCCTGCTTCTCAGTGCCCAGCAGAGAAAACCGAGGTGGCTCCACTCCCCTACAATCCTTCTGCAGAACCTTCTGGACTCTATTCTCTGTCTCTTTTACACACATACGACCAATATGATGACTTGAATTTTGCTGGCATGCAGAACACAGCAGTGTTAACAGAAAAGCCTTTGTCAGGTACAGATGTTCGAGAAGAGAAGATATTGGGTGAAAATCAAGATTTACATTTGAAATCTGACTCTGGCCCCCGGGAAGATAGCAGCCTTGCTTCCAGTGATCGGAGTAGCGTGGAGCGAGAGGTGGCGGAACACCTGGCGAAAGGCTTCTGGAGTGACATTTGCAGCACGGACTCACCTTGCCCAATGCAGTTATCGCCTGCTGCTGCCAAAGATGGTTTAGAGCAGATCTCCTCACAGAAGCGGTCTGAGTGTCCCTGGTTAGGTATCAGGATTAGCGAGAGCCCAGAACCAGGTCAGAGGACTTTCACAACGTTGAGTTCTGTCAACTGCCCTTTTATAAGTACTCTGAGTACCGAAGGCTGTTCAAGCAGTTTGGAAATTGGAAATGATGATTATAGTTCTGCACCCCAGCCAGAACCTTGTCCATATACTTGTGTGATAAGCTTGGGAGATGACTCTGAGACAGACACAGAAGGAGACAGTGAATCCTGTTCTGCCAGAGAACAAGAATGTGAGGTGAGGAGAAAATGTGTGTATTGTTAAGCCATTGTTTTATATCTTGAATTGCGCTGTGCTCCATGTCAGCTCCTGGTGCACAGTGAGGCCTGTGAGCAGACTGGAGCAGGGAGGAGACCCACACACAGTTACAAAACCATCAATCACACCAGAGGAGTGTGATGAAGCATGAAGCACTTCTGTGTCCGTGCGCCTCAGTGAGGTGTACTTACCCTAACCATGACTAGTTGTGGCTTCTGAATGCCAAGTTTTCTTTTTTTAAAAGATTTATTCATTTAAACAAGCACTGGGTACAGTCAAAAGCGTGGGAGGGTGAGAGAATGCACCAGAGCCAGAGCGGGGAAGAGAACAGGCAGACCGACGAAATACACTGCTGAGGGGAGCAGCGGGTAGCAGGAGAGGTCTGCGCGCCATGTGGGACCCTCGCTGGCAGCCGGGGATCAAAGAGGCGCTGCAGAGGCTGCGGACAGCTTCGCAGCTTCACAGCCCAGCGCTCAACTGCTGCGCCACCAGGGGAGGCCCTGATGCCAAGTTTTCTTTACATTAGTTTTCATGGACATTAACTTTTCAGATTAGTTATTTCAACTATTAATGAGTATTAATAATTTAGCATGGATTACATATAGTTGGTTTGGTATTAATCATAGTAAGTTTGATCTGTGTACTTTGTGAACAAAAATATTGAGTAGCTGATTTCTTGGTAAAGCAGTATTATCATTCCAGTATTCGTATGATTCTGATAATAGGGCTTGTTAGTTCTGTAGCATTTCAAAAAGATGCTCTTCTCTTTGACTTTGGACAGAGGTGACTGGTGATTTAATTTAAAAAGTAATATATGCGCATGGGTTATAGCTATAGATTTTGGTATGCCATTTATCGAGACTGGGTTTGAGATTATGAAAAGATTCTTTAAAATACATTTAAACAATTTAAAAACATTTTGTGTAACTAGTTCCTATAAGTTTGAAAGACAAATTAAGCTGGCTGTCAGGGAAACTGACCAGTGTCCCATTTGCATTTTTAAGAATTAACATTAAGCTATCTCACAATTTTTTTATTAAAAAAAATTATGTCCTCCTTTTTTCAAATACAAGTATGTTGAAAATGAATTTAGCATCTTCATTAAAGTTTTCCTGGTCTACATTAGCTACTGAAATGTGTTGTTTTTAAAATAAGTTGTGTGAAACTACCATTTTCCTGACAAATATTTTAGAAATGACTTACTCTAGTAATTGTATCAGTATTAACACAGTAATATCAAAGAATAAGATGAATTTTTTCCTTCAAAAGAGGCTTTATTTAGAATATTTTTAAATCAAAAGCATTTAAATTATCAGTTTTAATTTCAAGGCACACTAGAAATTGGAATTAGAGATCTTATTTTAAAAAAAAGTCTAACAGAGTTCTGTGGGGAGCGTAGATGTTCCTCTTCTTAGACTTAAGTATAACTACAAAATATAGCAATAATTATTATTTATTTCATGTCCCAGGTAAAACTGCCATTTAATGCTCAAAGAATAATTTCACTCTCTCGAAATGATTTTCAATCATTGTTGAAAATGCACAAGCTGACTCCAGAACAACTGGATTGTATCCATGATATTCGAAGAAGAAGTAAAAACAGAATTGCCGCGCAGCGCTGTCGCAAGAGAAAGCTTGATTGTATACAGAATCTTGAGTCAGAGATCGAGAAACTGGTAAACATACAAGTTTCTTCTTGTTAAAATTCCACCTCTTTTTTTTTTTTTTTTTTTTGAATTTCTTCTTCCTTTCCTCCCCCCCTCCCCCTCATTTCCTTGTCTTTTGTAGAGGAGATAGCGATTTCAATTCCTAAACAGGTATAATATTCAGTTATGCATTAATTTAAAAAAATTGCCAGTTACTATTTTAAGAAAGCAAATCATACGGCATTTTCAGAAAACTTAGAAAATAAAAAAATTGAGTCCCTGTAGACTATTTTACTTATGTGTAAATATTCTACATATTTAGCACAATGTACTGTATACTGCTTCTGGGTGCTTCTTTTTTTAATGATATACAAATTAAGGCTAATTTTACAGTTGAGTGAAGAATAATGAAATTTAAAGCACTTTTTAAAAAAAAAGATTTATTTATTTTTCATACAAGAGCTGGGGTACAGGCCAAAGGTGTGGAGGGTGAGGATTCACCAGAGACAGAGCAGGGAACAGAACGGCAGATTGAAATACACTGCTGAGGGGAGCAGCAGGCGAGTCAGGAGAGGTCTGCTGCGCCATGTGGGTAGCTCCCTGGCTGAAGATTGATTAAGTGATTTGTTTGATGTATGTAAAGCTAATGGTTGTTAGTTTAAATGAACTGTAGACTTAAGTAACTTGTTTCTGTTGACACCAAAACAAACAAACCAGCTGGTATCTTTTGTCTAAGGGAAAAAATTCACATGCTGATATGGATGGAAAATTTGAAGATGAGAAGTGAGAGGAATGCTTACTTTATTGAGTTTTATTTTCTGTTCCAATATGAAAACACAAATTAGTTAAAAAAAAATGGATTAATTTGTGCTCATGCTTCTCTTTTCCACTAGTGGTCATTGGAAGGAAGTGTTAGATGAGAAAGACAACTGTGATAGGCAGGCCAACTGAAACTAAAACTTTGACCAGACACAACAGGGAAAGTGCCTAGAATTACTGAAAATAATCCTTGAATGTTCTGTTTTGTGTCTTTGTTAATTATTAGTGAAAGTTTGAAATTGTGATTGTAGCAAATTTTCAAGCATGAACATTGACTGGCAATTAAAAAATACCCAGAAAATTGCCTTTACCTGCGGGACGGTGAAACTACTTGGGAAATGGTGCTGCAGACATTTTCACTGTGGGCACTGAGTGGCATTCAAAGCCAGTCTGTGGTGTGGTGTGCACAGAGATGAGCTGAGAGAGAAGATTCCCTTGGGTTCCTGACAGTTTTCTACTTGCATTACAAGAAAATTAAATTGTAGAAGTATGTAGTGGGACACTGGTTGTAGATTTGGGAACACAGCGATGCTGTGTCTCTAATGCTGGTAGATCGTATCTAATGATGCCATGGAGTGACTGAGTTCAATCACTTTAATTGCCAATTATTAAACTGAGTGCTGCTGAAGGAAAATTTGTGTTTTAAAATCAGAATAAAATGGAAAAATCAGCTAACTGCCTAGGAACCCAGCTATGTAGAAGTTAGCTTCAAGTACAAAAGGGAACAGATGGGAGCATTTAATTTATAGAAATGATTGTGGTAGAACATAGCGTTCCAAGGCTGTGCTTATTGGTTTCAGTTGGTTGTAAAGAAGCCATCTGGTCTGGGGTGTACTGAAGGGTATGCTCGTGTCACCCTTTGCTTAGTGCAGCAGGAGCAGTGAGAAATTCTTGTAATCATATTGATGTTTATCTGAAAATACAGAAGTTATAAAACATTTGTAGTCTTCGTAGTATCTGTAGTTTAAATAACAGTTCTAATTTCTGGGAGAAGCTCAAATATTTATTCTTTTGCTTAATCATACTTAAAAGACCAGCTGACTCTTGAAAGTTTGCTGTTGCTGTGTAGAACAGAAATTCTTCCCAACTTTGACAGAGGAGTACATGGCTGCATATTATTGTGACTGAGGAATATTTTTCACTTCTTCTGGAAGCTTTATTTTTATTCTTATTTGATTAGAAGTTGGTGCTGATCGCATTAATTGTATTTCTTTTCTGGTGAGGTTGGCACTATTCTTTACCCACTAGGTATTTGCAGACTCGTTTTATCAGAAACCTACAACTGGCAAACTTTCTGCAAGGAAAATATACTTACTGGACATGATCTTGTTTTATTTATTCAAGCACATGTATACACACACACCCACACACACAAGCATGTTCTTACCCTATAGCCTATTTTTTTCAAAACAGAATATTTGTATAAAAATCTGAATAAATGGGAGAATACCTTGCAATATAAAAGCTTAGAACTTTATATTCATATCACATTGTTTCAAATACTAGAAAAAGTAAAACATTAAAAAGCTACTAATAGTTGGATTTACAGTTTTGTAGAAAAACTTTAAAAGTGACAGTATTTTTATATACAAAGCAAATTTTCTCTTGCCATTTTAGCTGTTTTTGTTACAGAAAATAATATTTAAAGGATGGCATTTGTAGATTTTCATTCTGAAATAAACAATCTAAATGTTAACTGGCAACCTTGGCTCTGCAGAACAAAGAGAGTTGTCATAAATTTCACAAGAAAAGCCTTTGACCTTCTATCAACATTTAGTTACTCTGTCCTTAAAAGCAGCTCGGTTATTTGTTTTCTAGCTCACGCTAGATTTGAAGCATGCAGTGGGAGAGCAGGAAGGATGAGGCGGGACAAGGATGGAAGAAGACAGGGTGTTAGCAGCAGCAAGTGATGGTGGACAGGAGGGCAGAAACCGGGCAAACTTCTGTAAATGCTGTGATACACTTTTCAGAAGGGGTTAAAAGTGAATATTGATAACAAGAAAATAGTAACATACAGCCAGCTCCCCCCCCGCCAGTTCTCCACACTGTAGTAATCACCCACTAGTTTTCTGACTCTGGGCTCCTGTATTAAACCCATTTCATGCTATTAAATATGTTTACATGTCAAAAAACAACATAAAATGACCTTAATTTTTTTGTTGGTTTTCTTTACTTTTTTAAAATGTTAATTTATATATATATTTTTATATCATTGTTCATCTTTAAACAATAATTTCTTCCCCCCTCCTCAGGTGTAGTCCCCATAGAGTTTCCTTCACCAGTGCACCCATGTACCATCACCTCAGTCCCCTGAGCTCCTCCTCCCTCCCTCTGATCCCTCTCCCGCCTCCTCCCCTGCAGCATGTCTCTGGTTTATAATTGTTTTTTTTTTTTTTTTAATTGTAAAACAAACTTAAGTCAACAGTCTTTGTGTGGATAACTTTGTTGAGGTCATGTATTAAAAAAACTTAGCACAATATCTGGCATAAAGTAAATGTTCAACAAATGTTAGTCATTATTAGACTTAATAATTTGAGTTATATGAATTATGAGCACTGTACTGTTTTGTTGTATTCCATTCAGAATGTCAAGTCCAGACTTGTTTATCTGCAATCCACATATTCAAAAACGCTCTGAAAATCCTGCAAGTTTGTCACAAATTCCTGGCCAAAGTAACTGACCCAAACTGACATTAGTCTGTGTAGAGTCTTTCTCCTACTATCTGTGTTACTTGCTAATTTATTGTGTTTTATTTAAAAATGTAATGATGTTTGATAATGGTGTGGTGCCCTAGACCCTGCTGCAGGAATTATGTGGGCACTCAGATTATTTTTCTAAAATTTGAATAATTCTGAATTCCAAGATACATTAGGGCCTAGTTTTGGATCAGGGATTATGGAGCCGAGGAATTTAGTATGTTTTTGAATTGTGTTGAAAAGGAGAATCCCAAGTGATGCTTTTTAGTGAGAAGACAGCAGACAGGAATGTTTGCTCACCTTAGAAATGCTGGTAAGCTAATAAACACCGCTCATTGTGTTCTCTTTCCTGCCTTCACAGCAAAATGAAAAGGAGAGTCTGTTGAAGGAAAGAGACCACATTCTGTCGACTCTGGGTGAGACAAAGCAGAATCTAACTGGACTTTGCCAGCAAGTCTGCAAAGAAGCAGCTCTGAGTCAAGAACAAATACAGATACTCGCCAAGTACTCGGCCTCCGATTGCCCACTCTCATTTTTAATTTCTGAAAAAGGCAAAAGTACTCCTGATGCTGACCTGGCATTGCCGTCAATTATGAGTTTACCGGAGGGGCCTCCAACTGTGCCGCCTGCTGGAGAGCAGAGCCCCTGCTACCCCAGCTCCCGTGGGAGCCGAGAGGCAGGCTGCCCCCGGGCCCAGGAGTCCAGGCCCACCTCCGGCACCACCTCTGAATCGGCTGGACTGGTGGAGCAGTGTCGGCCGGGTGGCGGCATTTCGGATTTCTGTCAGCAAATGACTGATAAGTGCACTACTGATGAGTAAACTTGCACTTGCTGCCTTCACACCGTCCACTTTTCTACTGAAGTTTCACCATTGTCTTGAAAGCCTAAAGGAAACCATCTGTCTCTTAACAATACTGTGTTTTTCTCCCCAGTAGTTTGCTGTTAAGGGAATTCCTCTGAAGTCAACCCTGACTTCTTGATTTCCACAAAGAGATGCAGAAATGATTTTGCCTCCTGGATGCCGAAAAATCCCATGTGAAAATATAGTAAGGCTTCAAAAGTCATGTTTTAAAAAAATAATGACTATTAATAATAATTCTTGCCACTCTTCCAAAATATGCGAATGAATACTACAGCATATCACACAACAGCTTAAAACATCTGCAAAACATCCCCAGTTTAACTATCGGACTTGTTTCACTGGCGTGAAAGAGCATTTCCCCCCAAGCAGTGCTGATTGGGTTCCCTTCTACTCAGAAGAAAGGCGTTGGCTACTTGGAAACATTTGTGTAGAACTTGATATTGACAGTGTGAAAAATAGAGAAAAAATCATTTTACACCTGAATCCAAGAGCATTGCTCTTCAGCTCTGACCAAAACCAGAGGTGGTTGGCCTGCACTGTCACTGCTGACTTCCTGGGGTTTAGCTAGTAAGGGGCTGTTTGAGGCTCTGGTCCTCCTCAGTGTCGACTTCTAGAAATTCTGGTTGCGTAAACTGATATTTTTAACTCTGGTCTTCAGTCTCCGCAACATCGGTGTCTATCATGATCTTTCTGTTTCCTGACATTTTTGTCCCTTGGGAAGAAGAAATAGCATTCAGGATGCAGTGGCATGAGTGAATGCATTGGCATCATTGGTCTCCCTGGAATTCTGAAGTCCTTATTCCAATACTAAGCTGCTTGCCTTCCCACTAGAGGTCACCCATACAAAAAAACCAGGTATCATGGGGAAAGAAAATTGTGTTTCCTTTTAGGAGTGGCAATTCATTTTTCACCCTATTTCTGAAATCCTATGGTCTACCCTAAAAAGCATTCTTGTAGATGAAAATGTATCTGCAGCTGTTTTGTGAACCGAATGAGACTTCATCTTTCTCCATGTGTGCTTGAATTTGGAGATCCGATCTAAGCTTGATCTCTTCACCAAGTGGTATAAAATTTTATAATCTACCCCATAATATTTTGTAGTAGTTCTTAGCCATTCTGGTGTTACAGACTTGAGAATCCAATGACAGCAGTGGCCCTTCTCAACAGCTAAAAGGAAAAATTGCATACATTCAGCGAAACACTTGCAGAACCCAGTTTTAAAGAGTACAAAGGAGTAGTTCTAGTGCTTGGATTAGGAAGTACTTCTTTGCACCAACGTCAGATACCCAAGAGGGACAGAGATTGTGTCTTAAGTCTAGTGAAGGGCCAGTGTAGCTATGTGGGAAACAGATCTGAAGCCTAATGGGACCAGACTTAATATTTCAGAGGAATTTGTCAAATGTTACACTTTTTGATGGGAGGGAAACAGGGGAGATAGTGCTAGTATTTTTTCAGTGGTTTGTGTGTTATCTTGGTTATTAACTTAGTTGTAAGAAAAGACTTCTGGGCTTATTTTCTAGAGACTTTTTATAAGTATACTCAACAATTTGTCAGGGAGAATGATAATTCCATGATAGTGCATCCCATACTATAAAAAAGTGTGTGTGTGTGTGTGTGTGTGTGTGTGTATCTCCCCATGTAGTGTTTTCTTTGATACTTGTCCTTTAAATTTTAACTTCAAAATATAATATGAAAATTTTTTCTGGTTTACAAGATGTAAGATCTCATACAAGCCAATGGAATCCTTGATTTCCTACCTCAGTGTACACTCAGTTGCTTGTCATATCAGTTTGTGGATGTGCAAATGTCAAATAATCTTTGGCTTTAATTGCTACTGTAAATAACTGCTTTGAAAGGTTACTTACTATTTTATGATAAAACCTAGTTGTCTCCAGAACTTAAATATGGTTTTTAAGACCTTTGTTTTACTTTTCTCTCTATACAGTTTAGCATTATGGGTTTATTTTAATGATACTCTGATTCATTGGCCAAGTGTAATATTTCTTACGATATAGCATTACTTTTACTAGCCACCATGTAATACAAGTAACTACACTACCTCATTCCTCCATAATTTTCAAGTTGTAATACAGAGGGACAGAGAGATAAAAAGATTTTTATCTTTGTCTTTTGGCCATAAGGTGGGGATGTTTTCTATATATTGCATAGCATTACGCATTTATGCCTATTTTAATATTAACTTCTAAAGAAGTTTTTTCTAAGAAAATTTATTTCAAGTTGATTTTTGTTTTTGAGGCTGCCGAAGACAAATGACAGGATTATGTGTATACAGTGTATATCTCTTCCTTCATGCAACGTTTTTGGATAAGTGGTTTTCAGTTTGTATATTGCATATTTACATCATCTTTTTTCCTTATGTTATGAATTGGTCTTCTCAGTGCTTGGCGATTTCAAAAAAATTATGTCTCATTCAATAAAATAACATTACCTTAAAATTCTTTTTCGTTATTTGAATGCTATAACTACTGCAAATAATTTAATTGTTATATTCAGAGCAAATGTGGTTATAAATCTTGGTTCTCCATTTTATAACAATTTAATGTAGCTCAATGCTTAACCAATTTTAAATAAAGAATTATATATATTTGATGCAGTAGACGATGCAGGTTGCATGTGGACACTCAGGCCACATTAACTTGGGAAAAAAATAGCAAACAAATGGCAATGTTGTAATGAATTCTCAGGTGAACTTTTTTTCAGTTAAGAAACATCTATTTTGAATTTGTAAATATTTTAAATGTTTTATTAAGGCATGTAAAAACTATTCATTGAAATCTGTTGTTCAGAATGAAGATTTAAAGCCATATAATAGTCAAAGGTGGCATACTGATTGTAAAATAAACATAACATTATTGATTATTTTTTGTATCTTTCATATAATTTTCTAACAATGCAATAAAACCACTAAACATGTATCCATCTCCTCTTAAGATCATGTTTCATTGAAACTAAACTTTACTGGTATTTAATTGACATTTTCTTCTTCATGTACTTTTCCAGATGTAGTAAAACTATACATGTTAGATGTTGGTAATAAAATGACAGTAAAAAAAATTCTCTAAACTTTCTTTTCTAATTGAATAGAATTGTACATGCCATTTCCATTTTCTCACCTCATGTAAATTTATGGATTTCAGTCTTTTTGATCAATAATCATTATGACTGGCGTTTATATAAGGGGATCTTTCTTTAATTGATCGTCAGGCCTGCCAGAAAAAATTAAATCCTAGCACTCATGTTTAAGAAAGCTCAGATTTTAACCTTGCTTTAATTTAGTTAATTTCAGTCATTGGTTGAGACTTTGAGGGGTACTGTATCAGTCCTTTTCTGTTAAAAACCTGTGGGCAGGACTCTAGCATGCCACAGTCACCTAATTAGGTGCTTGTAGCCTGGCTTTGAGCAGCTGCCCAGCCACTGGCTATCCAGAGTGTGGTTTGGGTCTAGTGTAGTGACTCAGTAGGTGGCGATTTTGCATCCCAGGTGACATTTGGCAATTTCCAGAGACAGAAATAGTGGGGGCAGGATATCGGGTAGATGCCAGGGATTCGCCAAACCTATAATGCACAGGGCAGTCTTTGCAACAAAGATTTATACACCCAACATAGCAACTGTGCCGAGATTGAGATACCCAGACCCACCATGGAATCAAGACCTGGAAAAAGAGGCTCTCATGAGGCAGGGTGCTAGCTGTGAGCATTCAAAGTAGAAGGAGTAAGAAGTGAAATTTCACAAGACTTTGAGGTTTCCAGAGTCAGCATAATTGTGTCTGGTCAGAGGAGGCAACAAGGCAGGGGACTCCTGGCATGTTAGTGGGATAAATGGAAGAGGTGTCACAGGGAGGGCCCTAGGCCAAACGGGAAGCGCCGTGGAGGCAGGCCTCTGTGCTTGGCCTCTTACCAGTGTCCCCAGCATCCTAGGTGGACCTAATGACAAGATCACTGAGGACCTGAGGTCTGATATTAAGGGCTATAAGAACAAAGGAACTATAAATTGTGAATATTGGGTGGGGGGGGGCAATGAAAAGCACCTTTGGACCATTTAGGAAATAGAAAGGCAGTGGGTGAAGTCCATATTGCAACTGGAGGCAGGTTGGGTGTGACTGTAGATAAGTGGATCAGCTGAAAGTGAACTCTGGAGTTAGGTAGATTTACCATCCAGCCCAGTGTCCCAGCCCATCCCCAAAGGGGCAGAGGCCTGGGAAGAGGAGGAAAACATACTCTCCATAGGAAGGCAAATCCCAAGACTAAGGCCAGACCACGGGACCTTCTAATTATTATTAGAATGAAAGAGCATCCTCTCAGGGGCAGTAGGAGTAAAGGGATACAGAATCCAGGTGGGTGTGAGGAAAGTCGTTCCCCTGGAAACCAGGGTTAGGAAAGGATGTTCCTTTTTTATACTCCGCTTTTAACATTTTCTTGAAACATTGGGCTTAACTGCAATGCCGCTTCTCAACCCCGACTGGCTAATCACCTGGAAGAGGGGAGCAGAGCTGTGCTCACCCCTGTGAGGCCACTCTCCCAGGACCAACCTCTGCTCTCTCGGGGTCACTTCCCAGACTGCTCTGTGGTAACCGATATGGGTCTCTTGGAGGGTTCTCAATCAGATCCAGAAAGTGCAAGAAGTAAATTAGGACTATTTGGTACCAAATTGAAGCATTTTAAAATTTTTTTATTGAAATAACACTGCATTATAACACTTTTGTTTCAGGTGTGCATCCCTGAGCAGTCACAGGGGCATGTACTTCATTCAGTTCACCAGGTGTCCAGATCTGCCCTTCACCTACAGCCATCCTTTTTGCCTGATTTCCCACCCTCCTCCTCCCTTTTCCTCTGGTGGTCACTAATTGGATCTTATTTTTGTTTTATTCAGTTCATCTGTTTGTTTTCTTATATGCCGCCTATGAGTGAAATCAGGTGGTATTTGTCTTTGGTTTATTTCACTGGACATAATTTCCTCGAGGTCCATCCATGCGGTTAGAAGTGACAGGATTTCATCTTTTTTATTTTTTATTTCATTTTTTTTTAAAGATTTATTTATACAAGAACCAGGGTACAGGCCATATGTGCGGTAGGGTGAGAGGATTCACCAGAGACAGAGTGGGGCACAGAACAGGCAGACTGACTGAAATACACTGCTGAGGGGAGCAGCAGGAGAGACAGGAGAGGTCTGCTGTGCCATGTGGGTATCTCTGCAGCCAGCCGGGATCGATCCGGCACTGCAGAGGCTGCAGACAGCTTCACAGTGCTGCGCTCAACCACCTGTGCCACCGGGGAGGCCCTTCATCTTTTTTTATAGCTGAGTACTGTTCCCCTGTTCCCGTGTGTGTTCACACACCTTTACCCATTCATTAATCAGTGTTGCATAGGTTGTTTCCAGTGCTTGGCTATTGTAAATAGTGCTGCAGTAAACGTGTGTGTGTATACGCATGTGCACACACACATGTGCATGTATGTATGTGTATGTATGTGTGTGTATATATGCATGTATGTGTATATACACACACACAATCTTCACATTAGTGTTTTGGAATTTTGTAGGTAACTATCCAGAAGTGGGATTAACTGGATCATACGGAATTTTTTTTTTTAATTTATACAATATCGGGGGTACAGGCCAGAGGCACAGGAGGGTGAGAGGATTCACCAGAGACAGAGTAGGGAGCAGAACAGGCAGACGGACTGAAAGCACTGCTGAGGGGAGCAGTGGGTGTGACAGGAGAGGTCTGCCAAGCCATGTGGGCATCTCCCTGGCCAGCTGGGAATCAAACCTGTACCGCAGAGGCTGCGGACAGCTCCACAGCACTGCACTCAACCCACTGCGCCACGAGGGAGGCCCTGGATCATTTGGAATTTTACTTGAGGAATATTGGAAGGAATCTCCATACTGCTTTCCATAATGGCTGCCCCAGTTTATATTGCCACCCACAGTATTATAAGGGTTCCTTTTTCTCCACATCCTCTGCATCCCTAATTCCCTCCCACCTCATTGTCTAATAGAGCTTATCGGAGATTCTGTAATGAGACTAAATTCCAACATAAAAGGATTCCCATAAGAAAATGCATGAAAGATAGTCCAATAATAAAATGCTAGCAACATAATTATAGCCCAAATTTCCAGAAATCCTGTCCCATGATCAAACTTTGAGGGGAAAAACAGTTCACAGTTAAATCCCTTTGGAAATTAAAGCCCAAAGAGAATAAAGTAATTCGATAACGAATTCAAACTATAAAAACTTCAATGAGTCCCAAAACTATCCTTCCAAGTTTCTCATTTGGATCAGACTTCATCAGAGAGATTCTTGGTTACCGGATGCGGCTGAGATTCTCACAAAAGCTATAGCTGGAATTGTTTCTCATGGGGTGGAAGTTTCTGTCGGGCCACAGGAGGAAGGAGGTTGAAGGGCAAGTCTGTGAGGTGCCCGCTTTTTTTAAGAGTCCGAAGATATCACAAAATTACCACAATGTTGGTCCCACACCCATGCTTGTCAGCAAGTCACCGCCCAGGCAGGAAAGCTGTCATCCAGGCAGAACTGTTTTCTGAATTCAGTACCTGGAGCTGCAAGGGCTGTAGTGGAAACTCGTAATATCTGAAGGAAAGATGGAGGTGGTCTTGGCTTCGGCTTCCCCAGGATGCCCGCAGCTCACCACTCTCAATTGGCAGGACTCTCGGGATTTGATTTTGATAGTTTGCTTTGCTCGTTTCCGGGGGAGGGAGATTCCCCATCGCATGACACCCACATTGACATTTCCCTTCCAGGGAGATCCTCCTAGCGCCCAGGATGGACTGAGCGAGGGCTCTTTCGGGCTCCGAGTGCACAGTCCTGTTACAGGCCTGAGGCACCGTGGTGCTCAGACTGTGACCTTGGAATATAATGTTTCAGGCACAAGAAAGCCGACTCCTAGGGATGGTTTCACCTTTCCGTAGATTGCAGCAATCCAGAGCCTTGCGTGGATGAGCCCCGTGGGTCCAAGGCAAGTTCATCTTTATTCCCTCCTTGCGCCTGAGCCCAGAATGGAATTTGGGGTGGTGGGGATAACAGCCATGTTGATAAAAGCTAGAACTTCCCAGCATTCTGAAGCACATTGTGTCCCAACTGCCTTGAAAGCGGCTGGAGGGCCTCCCCGGTGGCGCAGCGGTTGAGCGCTGGGCTGCGAAGCTGCCCGCAGCCTCTGCAGCGCCGGTTCGAGCCCCGGTTGCTCCCCGGCCACCGGAGGAGGGTCCCACATGGCGCGCAGACCTCTCCTGCCGCCCGCTGCTCCCCTCAGCAGTGTACTTCGGTCCTTCTGCCTGCTCTGCTCCCCGCTCTGGCTCTGGTGAATTCTCTCACCCTCCCGCGCTTCTGACTGTACCCAGTGCTTGTATAAATAAATAAATAAATCTTTAAAAAAAAAAAAAAGAAAGTGGCTGGAAAGCAGCACCTCAGCCACAGTGACCCTCTAGATTAAAAATGCTCGTGTGCTGGTCTCAAACTTCTCACCTGTGCCTACTGCACCAGCATAAAAACCCTCTGAGGCGAATACAAGCCCCCGCCACCTCCCATACTCCAAAGTTATAATTGCCCAGCTTCCACCGTGTTTCACAGGCTTCCAGAACACATGTATATTGGACTACATGAATTCATTTTTTTATATCCAAAAGGGCAGGTTTATTATTTTAAAAAGGGAAGGGAGGAAGAAAAGGATGCTTGCATAGGTACAAGGAGAGCAGAAGAGTTGCCCCAGAAAGGGACTGGTTTGTTAGGAAAAGGAGAAAAAGTCACCAGCATAGTCACAGGCAGGCAGGAGAAATGCCTGCATTCTTTTTCTTCTGATTTCGAGTTCTCAGTATCTCCAAACACTGCCCTCTTGCCCCCACCCTCATATGGAGTTTCCAGAGGACCATTTCATATCCCCTCGTGAGTTACGAACAATTAGAGAAATAATAAAATGAAGGAATGGTAGATGAAACACCAAAATAAAACCTTAATTGTGGATAGAGTAGCAAAAGGAGTAAAGACCTAGACCAAGTTTACCTCATCAGGGGTTTTCTTGTTGTCACAAGGAAGTAACTTTCCTCACT